CGATATTATTTAATATTAATATTATTTAATTTAATTTAATTTAAATAAATTAATTTAAATAAATTAAATTAATATTTTATTTAATTAAAATTTAAAATTAATATTTACTATTCTTTGATATTCGAGTAAAAGCAGGATCTAATAGATTTCTTCATTTTTGTTCCTCTTTGGCTATTGAAACAACAATAAATCTTGTCATAGTTAAAATCAATATATAATCTACAGCTGACGTCTTCTGTCATTTCCCATTACCAGGAATAATCTCTCCTTTTTTCCCTTTTTCTTCTTCCCTTTATTTCTAGACCAGGGCTGTTTGTGTGTACGTGTGCACTCGTGCACTTGCACTAAGGATTGAGTCTATGCTCTGAGCATGCACTTTACCAGAGCCTAGGTTTGTGGCACCCATAGAATGTGTCTGCTCTGTGAGCAGAGCTAGTAGACAGGCTTGAAGGAGAAAGAAGGGAACTTTGCTCCTTAGATCCCTGAATGGTACTTGCCATCACCTCCAGTACTATACTAACATGAACTGGTGAAGATTCTTTATTACCATCAAGTTCAAATTCTAGGCTGAGACAAGTTGAAAGAGGATCGAAGAACACAAAGTTTCATTTTAAGAACTTGACCTTGAAGTTATAATTTGTTGGTCAGAATGTGGTCACACTTGATACCATGTTTTGAGGGAGTCTCAAAGTATTCTGTGTGGATAGTCAGCCCCACACACAGAGACTTAACCACAACTAAAAGCTGAGCAGCTGAGCGCAATTACACAGCACTGAGAAACACTTGGAACGACAAGTCTTTGAGTTACAAGCTCTAAGTAGAAATTAAGCATATTTAATACTACACAAATGAAAATTGTACCAGCCTGGTCTACAGAGCAAGTGCCAGGATAGGCTCCAAAGCTGCACAGAGAAACCCTGTCTCAAAACACTAAAAAAGAAAAAAAAAAAAAAAAAAAAAAAAAAAAAAAAAAAAAAAAGTAGACCTGTCTTTGAATGAAAATGATGAAAATGGCCAAATCTTTACAGGATTTGGGTATGGGTGATGTGTTTTCTTTCATTTGGTTGTAATTGTCTAGAGTGGCATTGTGACACTTACTTCTGGGAAGGTCACTAAGAAGTCACGGTCATCCTGAATACAAGGAGGACGTGATTAGATCTCCAGCAGCAAACTAGGAGTTGCAAAGGTTGTGTGTTCAAATGTTAGCTTGCTCAGGTCTCAAGTAGAAACAAACAGCAAACACCAAATACTAGCATTGTGTTCCTGAAGCTGTTTCTCCTCCAGCATCCGACTTGGTGGCTCGAGAGACCCCCTACATGTAGCTCAGGCTAGCCTTGCTGAACTCACTTTGTAGCCTGAAATAATGACCTCAAACTCCTGATCCTGCCGCCTCAACTCCTAAGTGCTGGGTTACCTAGTGCTACCACAAAGGGCCGTTACGGAAGTTCATATTTGCTACATACAGTCCAAACAGAAGTGGTCCTCAGGCTCTAGAGCTAAGTTCTTCAAAAGAGAGGTTTTCCGCATCAGGAATCTTAATACTGGATATCTTGGACTGAGAAATGACAGGAAAGGCCCATACATAATTCTTATCATATTCACAGTTAACTACCTCTGCAAAAACAAAACAAAATTAAAAAACCCACAAAACTGATGAAAGATGCACAGCACATGAGGGAGGGGATGCATTGCTACCTAGGGATAGTGTTTTGGCTTATATTGTTTAAACAGAATCACAAGCTTCACGTTTTCAAGAGATAAGTAAGTTGTTTTTCTAAATTTATAGTAGAAAAAAAGGGAGCCAGCTACTTAACCATGAGAACACTGTATTTTCATTTTGAAGACTCATTAAAATTATGATAGTAATTACAGGTTAAGGAAGGAGTGAGTGTTTTCTAAATGTAACACTATGTTTAAGTAGCATTCAGATACAGAAAGTGTGAACATTTGAGTGATATACCAACACCCTCATTTATAGAATTGTCAAAATACTGTCATTAAGGAGTGAATACCAAGTTTTCTTTGTCTGTTTTTATAGACAGGCTCACATTAGATAGTCCTGGCAGCCTAGAAAACTTTATGTAGACTGCTGGCCTCAAACTCACAGAGATCTTCCTGTGTCTGCCTCCCAAGTACTGGAATTAAAAGCATAGCCACCACACCTGGCCTTATGTCAACTTCTAATAAAGGACTAAGCTAAAAAGAATAGTTTTAACACTAGTTCTTTATTAGTTGTTTTTGGGTTTTTGTACCTTGTCTAGAGTGTACCTTGTATTCTTTGTTTAACAGTGTCTTGTTTGTTTTGTTTTTGTTTTTTCAAGATAGTTTCTCTGTGTAGTATCCCTGGCTGTCCTAGAACTCACTTTGTAGACCTGTCTGGCCTCAAACTCACAGTGATCCTCCTGCCTCTGCCTCTGCCTCCCCAGCCCTGGGATTAGGCGTGAGTATGCTGCCACCACCACAGCCTCCACTGCCACCACTCTGCTAAGTCTTAAGTAACAGAAGTAACACGAGTGCTCTTAATATGCATCTGAAACTTCCTTTATTAATTGAAGGCTGCAAAGATTGTCTGCTCTGCTTTCTCTAGATGCTCTATAGCTCTACATTGATACATTTCTTTCGAGTTTTGGGTTTTTAGATGTGATATTTGGCATATTGATGATCTCACTTTTTGGTACAATTTAAAAAATATACATTTGTGGGCAGACACAATGGTGCCATTGGTAAAAAACACTTACCATCATCCCTGAAAACATAAGTTCAATTCCTCAGACCCATAGCATGGAGGAAGAGAGTGGTTTCCCACAGATCGTATCCTCTGACTTGTGAGAACACACACACACACACACACACACACACACACACACACACACCCTGGACCCCTGGACATCACGTGCACCTACACACATGCATACATACAAAGTAAATAATTATTTTTATATATACACTTTTGCCTCTGGGGGCTCATTTTTCTCTACTTCTATGGCTTGTTTTTATTGTATGATGCTCTTTTTTATGTTAGTACAGTTAATTCTTTTGAATAACTACAACTGAGTCCACCAAATAATATGCCACAATGCATTTGACTTTTCCAATGTTTTTCTGTTGTATCTAGTGTTCTGATGTTTATTTTAAGTTCAGTTTGAATGTTAATTCCTGCAAATTATTTTAAAATAGAAATATTCTATCTTTAGAGATTTTGAGACACTTAGAACTTTAAAATTGGGGACTACAGAAATGGCTTTGATTAGTCTTCCAGAGGACCAGAATTTGATTCCCAGCACTCACAAGACAGCTTACAGCTGTCTGTAACTCCAGTTCTAGGAGATCTGATGCCTGCTTCGGGTCTCCATGGGTACCAGATGGGTGAGTGGTGCACAGACACACATGCAGGCAAAATACTCACACACAAAAAATAAAAATAATAAAAAACTTTTAAAGCTTAAGACTTTACATTCACATTTTGAATTTTCTTAGCCCAGTGCATAGCTGCACTGTGGAGATAGCGAAATGACATGTTAGTAACTTGTACCCTAACCTGCTGGATTTGACCCTTTTGAAATCATCCTGACAAGCATCCTGTAGAATTCTCTCAATTCCTCAGTAGCTTTGACTTAAATGCCTTCTTACTTGCCCCTTCCCACTTTCCAAGTCTCTGGGGGATAGGGGGAATCTGTAATTCAATAATATCACCTAAATAAATAGATTGGGGGAAGACCACTTCCTCAAAGTCCCTTTGCTGATTTTCTCCAGATTTAACTGGTATAAATTTGGGAGTACAAAACTTGATGGTTTCTTTTTTTCTTATAATGCTGTTTTATTTTTCATTGATAGATTCAGAAGCTCTGTGACCGAGTAGCTTCATCAACTTTACTGGATGACCGAAGAAATGCTGTGCGTGCTCTTAAATCATTATCTAAGGTTTGTAACACTAAATGATTGCTTCTTTAAATTTTCCCTCCCATGTACGTGTTTTGTTTGCAGGTATGTCTGTGTAGTGCTAGCAGAGGCAAGAAGAGGGTGGTGGAGTTGCAGAAAGTTGTGAGCTGCTGTGTGGGTGCTGGGATTCAAACCCAGGTCCTCTGGAAGAGCACCCAGTGCCCTTAACCACTGAGCCATCTCTATAGCCCCAACTACTGTTGTTGTTATTGTTTTTCCACTTGGGCATTAGTAATAATTTGTAACGACACTTTCCTGTTTTGTGTAGAAATACCGCTTGGAAGTAGGAATCCAAGCTATGGAACATCTTATCCATGTTTTACAAACAGATCGGTAAGTTTCATGTACTGATTTTTCCTTCTAGTTTTTTTAACTTTTAATTTGTTCTAGAGTTACCATAATCATTTCAGAAGATAGTAACAGTAAGTCTACTACATTTTTACTCTTAATTGACATTTCAGTAAACATTTATTGGATACTGTGTACAAACCACCATGCTAAGCATTAGGTAAGACATGAAAGTGGGATAGAATAACCAGATGTGGCAGTGCACTCATGTAATCAAAGCACATGAGTGGTACAGGCAGGAGGGTCAGGATTTAAAGCCATCTTTAGCTTCCTGGTAAGTTCTAGGCCAGTCTGGGCTACATGTGATCCTGTCTTGGAAAAAAAGGTGGGGGGGGGAGTAATGATGTAATTTAATTATAATGGCTTTGAGATTTTGATTGGTATTGGGTAAATGGATGTACTGATACTCATTTGCAAAAAATATGTTACAGCTAGCCTGGAGTTGGTGGCACACGCCTTTAATCCCAGCACTCAGGAGGCAGAAGCAGGGGGATCTCTGTGAGTTCGAGACCAGCCTGGTCTACAGAGTGAGTTCCAGAACAAGTTCCAAAGCTACACATAGAAACCCTGTCTCAAAAAAACAAAACAAAAAAAAAAAAACTAAGAAAACAAAATAATTGTTTTTTGCAGATTAAACAGATTTTTCCCCTTAAGACAGTAAATGCATATCTTACCTCTGATAAAATGTCTGTCAAGTTTTAGCTGCTTGTCACACTGAGAACTCCACTGAGATCCACATAGGGCCTCAAATTCAGAATCAGCTGGGGAGACAAGTGTTTGCTGTACAAGCCTAAGAGTCTGAGTTCAGATCCCCAATACCCAGACAAAAGCTTGACACGGCCGTTTGCTGCGGGAAGGAGACAGGTGCAGATCCCAGGAGCTCGCTTTGTCTCTGGGCCTCCTACTCCTGGCCTCTCTTTGCCCACTTTAGCTCTCTTTTCTTCCGAATAAATCCCAATCAATAGTACTCTTCCATTGAGTCAAAAACTAAAAGATCCCTGCTGAATTCATCCCTCATGGCCTAAGAAAAACAGTAATCATGTTTCCAGTACTCAGTATATCTATCACTTAAATCATTTTCCTGGCTTTTTGCTGTGTTGCAAAATATGAAAAAGTACTTTAAAATTTAGTAACCAAAGAAACAATTTATTGCTTCAGAGTTTCTGTGCTTGGGGATTGAGGGCTGGCTTAGTTAACTAGACCCAAGGCCTCTTAAGTTGTAGTAGAAGTACCAGTGGAGACTGCAGTCAGCTCAAGCTTGACTTGCTGGAGGGCCAGTCACCCCTCCCTGTTGTTTCCTTTAGCCTGCTTGAGTACACTAATGATAGATGGCAGTTCTGGCATCACTCTGGAGCCTGTTATCCAAAGGAGCAAAGAGAAAGCCTATATCTGTACTCACTCACTACTCACTCTCAGACTCACATAGACGACAGTTGTCAGAGGTCAGTACATGAGTTACCTCCATGTAACAGGTGGCTCATTAGGCTCCACTGTATGAGAGCTGTATCAGAGAGCTTTAGACATTTTCTAAAACTACTACCTCCTTTTTTATCCATTTTAAAAACAAAAATAATTTTAATTAAAACAATTTCTTGGCAATGTTCAAAACATAAGACTCTCTTTACAAAGGAAAACTTCTAATCTTGGTTTAAAAAAAAGTCAAACCAGTAAGCTACATTAGACACGAGATGATAGATATACCCTAAACTACTACTACCTTTAAAATGTATTTTATGCCTCTGATCTCTTTGTGACTTATGTACTTATTGTGTTTTACCAGTTCAGTGTAGTGTGAAATCCAAAACCAAATTTCTTTTTTTTTAAATTCAGAAACAATCTTATTTTACATATCACAAAATCATATTTCTTATTTATTTATTTATTTGTTTGTTGGTTGGTTGGTTTGGTTGGGTTTTTTTTGTTTTTTTTTTTTTTAAGGCAGAGTTTCCCTGTGTACCCCTAGCTGTCCTAGAGCTTGCTCTGTAAGTTCAAGGCTGGCCTTGAACTCAGAGATCTGTCTGCCTCTACCTCCCAAGTATACCATTACCATCCGACCATTTTGTATTTTTTCCAAGTACAAATCTTACACCTTTTTAGGGATTATTTTTTATTTTGTTTTATTTATTATGCATACAACATTCTGCTTCCATGTATATCTGCACACCAGAAGAAGGCACCAGATCTCATAGAGAATGGTTGTGAGCCATCATGTGGTTGCTGGGACTTGAACTCAGGACCTTTGGAAGAGCAGTCAGTGCTCTTAACCTCTGAGCCATCTCTCCAGCCCCCTTTTTTAGGAATTCTATTGAAAGTATTTATTCTTATCATTGAAATTACTTAAACAATTAGCCCTAGGATCCACCCATCTCCCCTCCCACTACTGGGGTCACAGGCACACACAGCCATGTAGCTGTATGTGCCTGTTTCACGTGGATGCTGGGGACTCAAGTTCAAGTGCTCATGCTTACATAGGAGATGCTCTTACCCACTGAGCTATCTCGCAGCACCAGTTTGCTTGAGGATTAAACTCAGGGCCTTACACATGCTACGCAGATGTCCTACCACTGAGTTGAAGACCCAGCCCTGCCTGAATTGTGAGCTTCTTGGGGGGTGTCCTTGGTCATGTTAAAGAAGGTATCTCAGGTTTCTCAGTCATCTCTTGTAAGGTGTGTTTCAAAATTTCTGAAAAACAGAGTGGTGAATGTTTTGTACAAAAGCCCATTTTGTTCAGTATTCTCATCCTCTGGTAACCCTTCTGGGCTGTCATCTTTGTTTTCATTGTCCTTTTTCATGTGTGCTGACTCTTTGGGACTTTGTGACATTCTTAGTTTCTCTAGATGCTGCTACCATCCTCCATGAGTGGGAAACTGACAGATTTTGAAATTTGTCAGCAAGTATAAAATCTTGTGTTCCTTGATTATATAAATTGTACATAGTTACTGCAAGAATTTTTTGGGGGGTGGGGCGGGGGTTTCAAGACAATGTTTCTCTGTGGCTTTGGAGCCTGTCCTAGAACTAGCTCTTGTAGACCAGGCTGGTCTTGAACTCACAGAGATCCACCTGCCTCTGCCTCCTGAGTGCTGGGACTAAAAGCATGTGTCACCACCTCCCGGCCTGAAAGAATTTTTTGAGAAAATGAAGTATAGAGAAGTTAGACTACCTACAGATAATGCTATTTTACATATATATGAATGTACATGTACATAAAATTAACTGGCTATTCTGCTTGCTAGTTTAATGTTTGGTTTACTTTATAAATAAAAATAAAAATATGATGATTTAAAGAACATATATGAACACATACACATAAATATACATTCATATGTTTTGCTAAATGGAATTATCCTATCTAGTTTTTTGAAAGCTTTTTTTTTTTTTTTTTTTTTTTTTTTTATGGATATGGGTGTTTGCCCTGTATGTATGTCTGTGCACCACGGGCATGCCTGGTGCCCATGGAGGTCAGAAGAGGGCATCAAATCCTCTGGGACTGGAATTACAGACAGTTGGGTGCTACCATATAGGTTTGGAAATTGAACTAGAGTCCTCTGGAAGAACAACCAGTGATCTTAACATCTGAACCATCTCTTCAAGACCCTTGTCTGTCTGTTTGTTGTTTATTTATTTATTTATTTATTTATTTATTTATTTTTCAGGACAGGTTTTTCTCAATGTTTTTGGAGGCTGTCCTGGAACTAGCTCTTGTAGACCAGGCTGAGTCTTAAACTCACAGAGATCTGCTTGCCTCTGCCTCCCAAGTGCTGGGACTAATTGTGTGCTGCACCACCACCACCCAGCTTTTCTGCCCCCCCCCCTTTTTTTTTTTTTTTGGTTTTTCGAGACAGGGTTTCTCTATGTAGCTTTGGAGCCTATCCTGACATTCACTCTGGAGACCAGGCTGTCCTCAAACTCACAGAGATCCTCCTGCCTCTGGCTTCCGAGTGCTAGGATTAAAGGCGTGCGCCATTGTCTGTCCATTTTTAAATTTAGTGTTTTTCCTACTTGATACTGTATTAGTATTTGTTTAATTATCATTCTATCACATATTCTTTTCTGGGGTGGTGATTTTTGCTTTTTGTTCTTTTTTTTTAAAGATTTTATTTTATTTATTATGTATACATCATTCTGCTTCCATATATATCTGCACATCAGAAGAGGGCACCAAATCTCATGGTTGTGAGCCACCATGTGGGTGCTGGGAATTGAACTCAGGACCTTTGGAAGAGCAGTCGGTGCTCTTAACCTCTGAGCCATTTCTCCAGCCCTTGTTCTTTTTTTTTTAAGATTTATTTATTTATTATGTATATAGTGTTCTGCCTACATGTATGCCTGCTGGCCAGAAGGGGGCACCAGGTCTCATTATAGAGGGTTCCGAACTACCATGTGGTTGCTGGGAATGGACCTCTGGAAGAGCAGTCAGTGCTCTTAATCTCTGAGCCATCTCTCCAGCCTGCTTTTTGTTCTTAAGACAAGGTTTCTCTGTAACAGCCCTGGCTGTCCTGGAACTCAGTCTGTAGACCAGGCTGGCCTTAAACTCCCAGAGATCCACCTGCCTCTGCCTCTGGAGTGCTGGGACTAAAGGTGTGTGCCACCAATGCCAGCACATATTCTTTTAAGATACATTTTTTCATTGATGTCTTTTTTTTTTAAGATTCTATCTATCTATCTATCTATCTATCTATCTATCTATCTATCTATCATGTATACAGTCTTCTGCCTGCATACAGGCAGAGGGCACCAGATCTCATTCAAGGCGTTTGTGAGCCACCATGTGGTTTCTGGGAATTGAACTCAGGACCTCTGGAAGAACAGTCAGTGCTCTTACCACTGAGCCATCTCTCCAGCCCTCATTGATGTCTTATGTGTGCTATTAACTAGACAAGTTGATTCCTCAGTTTTTGCAGTCCTGTTCTTTTTGTTGTTTGTTTGTTAGGTATTTTATTTTGGGGCGGGGGTGGGCGTTCAAGACAAGGTTTCTCTGTGTAAACCTGGCTGTCCTGGAACTCAGACCAGGCTGGCCTTTCTGCTTCCTGAGTGCTGCGATTTAAAGTGTGGCTACCACTGTCAAGCAATTTTTACAATTCTAGATAAATTATGTCTTTATGTACTCTCTTATTTTATTGTTTTAATTTTAGATGATGATGATGATGATGATGATGATGATGATGATGATGATGATGAAAGGTCTCTCTGTGTAGCCCAGCCTGGTCTGTAACTTGCAGTTATCCTCCTTCCTCTGTCTCCTGAGTACTGAGAGTACAGATGCGAGCCACCATGCCCAGCTTTACACATTGCTTTTTCTAATACTTTCTTAGATTAAGTTTATAGATAATAAATGAATATTTTATTGATTTTATGAAGGAACTGCCTAAAAATGGCCACAACAGTTTAAATCCAGCCAGCAGTCTATAAGTATAATAATTTCTTTTTTTCCAGTTCGGATTCTGAAATAATAGCTTATGCTTTGGATACACTCTATAATATAATATCTAATGATGAAGAGGAAGAAATAGGTAAGTTTCCAGTTATTTTACAGTGCTTTCGTATCTAAATAACTTGGTTATGCCAATTTTGCTTTAAAGTTGAGTGTATGTATTTTATAAACTTCTTCATTTTCATAGGTGTTTTCTTATTAAGTTACTCTTTGCATAATAAAGACTAACCTTAGTCCTGAATAGTGTAGCTAGGATGAAGGCTCAGTGTGACAAGGTGGAGTGAGGTTTCTGTCTTTAAATCAGGGACTCCCTATGCAGCCTGGACTAAGCCAAGCTCAGTCTCCTCCCTCAGCATCCATAACTTTAGGGTTATAGGCTCTGCCACCTCTTATCTGCATCCCTCCATCTTTTAAATGTTTATTTTCACTAAACATACAAGGTATTAAATATTGTGATATTTCTAATAAAATGTGTTTTAGTAGAGTCTCATTTACTCACCTCCCTAGATCCTGTGTTCTCTCTCTCTCTCTCTCTCTCTCTCTCTCTCTCTCTCTCTCGTTTTTTTGGTTGCTTTGATATTTTTGCTGTTTTTCTACACTGTGTCTTGCTGTGTAGCTCTGGTCCTAGAATTCACTATGCAGACCAGACTGACCTCAAGAATCTGCTGCCTCTGCCTCCTAAATGATGGTGTCACAGGTATGGACCACCATCCTGCAGGCCCTTCTTTCTGAAGCTTTTTCTCTTGGGTTGCAATTGGGCAGTATGCATATTAGCAACACTGAGTTCAATAATCCCCATTGGTTGTTGGTTGATCTCTGTATGTATTATTACCCTTGTGCCTGTTAGGGGTTAGAAGCCAAGTTAGGGGATGTCTCTCCTAATACTTAAACCCTTCTTTTCCTAAGACTTTGCTAATTTATAAAGAGCAACAATTTATTAAATTTAGGAAGGGTGTGTGTGTGTGTGTGTGTGTTGTCTCTTTGATATGAAAAAATACATATCTGTGTGAAATCCAAAGAAACAAATCATTTCTTTGTTATGCCTCCTCTTTTCCTTTTTATTTCAACATACTTGATTATTTAAAATGAGATAGCTTGTCATTTACATTGCTACATCATGAAAGGCTTTGTTCTATAAATTGTGAAAAGATACTCAGTGAATAACATTTCATAGAGCTGCTGAGAACGTTTGCATAGCCAACTGCTGGTCACAGTAAGATGAATGAGTTCCCATTATTTTCAAGGGAAGAGCAGACATACTCATGTGTTTTATAACTAATTTATACCAATGTATGACAAAAGTAAAACTGTAAATAAATATTGACCTTGTGTATACTTTATTAACAGTTCAGCAGAAAAGCATGTGCATGCTAATCCCACAGGGCACTGGTAGTGTGCGTGTTTGAAATGACGTGGTGAATAGTCATGAGCCTATAGAATGGAAGATACTTTTTCTTAAGAGTTTACGTCTCTGTGATATCTTGCTAGAAGTTTATTAATTTCTAAGGGGCAAAGAGTCTCTCTATGTAGTCCTAGTTGTCCTGGAACTTGCTTTAGACCAAGTTGATTCCAAACTCATAGAGATCCTCCTGCCTCTTCATCCCAGGTGCTAGGATTAAAGGCATGCCAAACAATGCCCAGCTAAGCAACACACTTAATAAAAAATGGCTTAAAACCCCTTGATGTCTTAGATATCAGGTGTGTGGGGGGTGTTTATTTCTTGTGTGTATTTGGGATTTTATGTTTACTTCTTTTTTTTTTTTTTTTTTTTTTTTTTTTTTTTGGTGGTTTTTTGAGACAAAGTTTCTCTGTGTAGCTATGGAGTCTATCCTGGCACTCATTCTGCAGACCAGGCTGGCCTGGCTGTGATTAAAGGTGTGCACCACCAACACCCAGCTACTTGCAATTTTTGAGACAGTTTTACTGTATAGTTCAGGCATGTACTCACCATGTAGCCCCTGGCCCTGCATACCCAGTCTGTACTTCAACTTCCCAGGTGCTAAGATTATAGGCAGGTGCCATGGTGCCTTCCTATGTCAGTGCTCTTTATTTTTAATGGATCTTTCAAAAGTCTCTGTGATAAAATAGGAAAAACAACTTTTGAATAAATGGTAGTAATTTTTCTAGGGACTTTTCAGTTATGTAAATTTTTTAAAACTAGATATGAAGAAACATGCTCTTGAGTTATGTGTTCAGTGCCTTCTCTTTAATGCTTCATTTGGAGGTAATTCTGCAATGACCCCAAAAGTCTATTTAGAGTTCTTTATCTTGGGAATATTTTATAACCCTTTAGTGATAAATCTGTCTCATAGTCCTAAAAATAGAGCATATTCCATGTGTCTTGGATGGTCCTCAGCTGTTTGACATAAATGGTGGAATCTCATTTTCCAAAAGTCATGCTCCTTACTTGACCTGCTCCTGTGTTTATACAGATAGATATGAATAGCTTTCTTTGTCACCTGCTTTTTATTTATTTATATTTGTCTACCTTTTCAGATGATGTTGAAAGTAAAGGTTTGCATTTTCATATGGATGATACTGTAGACATAAGACCTGGCTGGTAATATAAAAGGACACTGTCAAATGCTGTTTCTTCTGGCTTCTAAAAACTCTGACATTGATTTTAATGTGTCAGACTCTGTTATTAAAGAGGAAAATTTAATAATCTGCTGTTCATATTGTGAAACAATTCTAGTGTATTTTTTGGTTTTTCGAGACAGGGTTTCTCTGTGTAGCTTTGGAGCCTATCCTGGCACTCACTCTGGAGACCAGGCTGACCTCGAACTCACAGAGCTCCGCCTGTCTGCCTCTCATGTACTAGGATGAAAGGCATGCACTACGGCGCCCAGCCCTCAGAAACAATTTTATTTTGTACAGCTCATAATTTTATCATCTGAGTTCTCAGAAAGAAAAAGATCGAGGAAATTTTGAGCCAGGCATGGTGGTACACACCCTTTAAATCTAAGCAGTCCAGAGGCAGACAGAGGCAAGTGGATCTACATAACATGTTCCAATCCAGCCAGAGCTACACAGTGAAATCCTGTCTCAAAAAAATAAAGCCCGGCACTTGGGAAGCAGAGGCAGGCGGA